ACACATTTCAAATATTTTACAGAACGCGCTGCATGGTGGGAAACTTTACAGAATCGTTACAAAGTATGGCCTCCCTTAAACATACATGTGACCAACAAGTATTAGTGCCTTTATTTAGAAGTAAGTTTGGATCCTTTGTTCTAACGTTTATTAAGCGACAGTAAAAAATTTCTTAATTTAATATATATGGATAGACAGATGTATGTCCCCTGTTTCAATTTGTTTCTAATTAATCAAAAAACTACACAAAGAGCTATATGTGCTGTGCCCGCCACGGGTATTAAAACCAACGTTTAGCGTTATAAGCCACTAGGAGGCACGCGTGTCAAGGTGGTCGAATTTTTTCAGAAAATTCTTCACGATTTTTTAGAAAGAATTCAACCTCTTCCAGACTACAAATGCGCCTTTGTGTGACACACGGATTCAATCTCTTCCACGCTACAAATGCACCCTTGTGTGACACACGGATTCAATCTCTTTCACGCTACAAATGCACCCTTGTGTGACGCATGGATTCAGCCTGTTCCAGACTACAAATGCGTCCTTCTGTGACACACGGATTCAACCTGTTCCAGACTACAAATGCGCCCTTGTGTGACGCACGGATTCAACCTCTTCCAGACTACAAATGCACCCTTGTGTGACGCACGGATTCAATATCTTCCAGACTACAAATGCGCCCGTGTGTGACACACGGATTCAACCTCTTCCAGACTACAAATGCGCCCTTGTGTGACACACGGATTCAACCTCTTCCAGACTGCAAATGCGCCCTTGTGTGACACACGGATTCAACCTCTTCCAGACTACCAATGCGCCCTTGTGTGACACACGGATTCAACCTCTTCCAGACTACAAATGCGCCCATGTGTGACGCGCGGATTCAACCTCTTCCAGACTGCAAATGCGCCCTTGTGTGACGCACGGATTCAATCTCTTCCAGACTACAAATGCACCCTTGTGTGACACACGGATTCAACCTCTTCTAGACTACAAATGCGTCCATGTGTGACGCTATCTGCGCTAGCCGTCCCTAATTTAGCAGTGTAAGACTAGAGGGAAGGCAGCTAGTCATCACCACCCACCGCCAACTCTTGGGCTACTCTTTTACCAACGAATAGTGGGATTGACCGTCGCATTATAACGCCCCCACGGCTGGAAGGTCGAGCATGCTTGGTGAAACGAGGATTCGAACCCTCGCTCCGAAGATTGCGAGTCGAGCACCCTAACCACCTAGCAAATTAACAAAATTAACAAAGCGGGCATGTTGTTAGTTAAACTAAAAATGCCAGAGATCGTCCAGTCATACCTTTTACTCTGTTATAACCAGAATTCATGACAAATGAGGATAATCTTCTAGTATAGAGGTACATTAGAAAACTTAATATTTTTTGTTCCTCAGCAGATTCTTCAACGTTACTAACCTACATACCAGACCTATGTTCACTTACTAATCGTTTCTTTTATTCCCGAAACAAACTTGCTGACCTCTTTGCTTGTATTCGACCTATGACATAGGTTGTTTTCGAACCGAGTTAGCATGTTGACTAACATACGTAAATAATCGTGCACGATTTCAATGACGTTAATAATGAGGAGGTTAACAAGATTATACTTTACAAAATATAAGAAATACTATAGTATTCCAGTAAAGGATATTTAATATTCTTCATTCTGGTTTAAACATTATCTGTTTACATCTTAAATCCACGAGAAAATTTCATCAAGAAATCGTTGCTAAGTTACCTAGTTCCCTCAAATAAACCTATACTTCACAGTACAGCTTCTAAATATGTGTGTGTGTCTGGATGACAAGAGTCTAATGCGTGTGTCCGGATGACAAGTCTAATGCGTGTGTCCGGATGACAAGGAGAACGTTGGCAGTGTTGTAAATGATACATGTCAAGGCGACTTGATATCAGCCAATCCTAAACTGTGATAAACACTCAACGCTTCTAAGTGTTATAAACACTCAATACTTCTAAGTGTTATAAACACTCAATACTTCTAAGTGTTATAAACACCCAATACTTCTAACTGTGATAAACACCCAATACTTCTAACTGTGATAAACACCCAATACTTCTAACTGTGATAAACACCCAATACTTCTGACTGTGATAAACACTCAATACTTATAACTGTTATAAATACTCAATACTTATAACTGTTATAAATACTCAATACTTATAACTGTGATAAACACTCAATACTTATAACTGTGATAAACACTCAATACTTATAACTGTGATAAACACCCAATACTTCTGACTGTGATAAACACTCAATACTTATAACTGTTATAAATACTCAATACTTATAACTGTGATAAACACCCAATACTTCTAACTGTGATAAACACCCAATACTTCTAACTGTGATAAACACCCAATACTTCTAACTGTGATAAACACCCAATACTTCTAACTGTTATAAACACTCAATACTTCTAACTGTTATAAACACTCAATACTTCTAACTGTGATAAACACTCAATACTTCTAACTGTGATAAACACCCAATACTTCTAACTGTTATAAACACTCAATACTTCTAACTGTTATAAACACTACAATACTTCAAACTGTGATAAACACTCAATACTTCTAACTGTGATAAACACCCAATACTTCTAACTGTGATAAACACTCAATA